TCGGGAGATGTGAACCAGCGTCAATGCACACGGTTATAAACCGTAAGTGCTCTGCCATCAGTACGTACATTGTAGCTCTTGTTATTCCCCAGCCTACCTGTCTGTGTCATCTGCAGATTTTAAGTTTGATACAATTCATCCTCCTGTACTGTTTCATAATGTTTTTTTATGGCGTCAGTCATAATTATTTCTAAGAGTGTATTATACAGTGTGGGGGAGACTCCCTGCTAATGTTCGGAACCAGCTTCCTATTTGTCCGTCAGTGTGACAGCTGTCTTTGGCATAAGGGTTTTATCTATTTTTTTACTTTTTCATGGTATCCCAAAATGCTGAATGCCATACTTTATCGGTGAACACATGGTATAGATGCTTATGGTGCTGACAGGATTGCCCTGACAGTAGGTGTACATATCCATTTAACAGTAGCTTTCTTATAGTGGTTAAATAGGTGACAGTTTGCCTGTTATTGCATTATCATCAGTTAGTAGGTCCTTTATAATCGTCGCTCCCTTCATAGCACCCCTAAAAGTTTTTCTTGAAACAGTTTTCTACTTTCGCAGATGTCACCGTCTGCCTCATTTACCCAAAACTGAACCCTTCATCACCCCTCTCTCCAGGCCACAGCGATGTTGAACACAGCTAAAAAAAAAGTTTATAGGACTGAATGCTGTATGTGAGCCAGTGCACCTCATTGTTTGGATGATGTAGGATGTCTTTTGTTGCTGGTTTACGATTTCAAAGAATTTTTCTCTAGCATTTCAGTTCTGTAATTTTTGTCTTCAAGGATTGAGTCTGTGACTTGTCCATGTTGCCACAGGGAACCATCATGATTTCAAAATGTGCAGGTGCTGTCTCATGGTTTCTTCATACTATTAGCCTCTGCCTCACTGTAGCATATTTTTTCTTTCTTCATTTGGTTAGTCGTAATTGTTCGTTACAGAGCCTAAATGTTCAGAATCTGACACTGTCAATCTCTTGATTATTGATTTTAATACCTTAATGTTAATGCATACACTTTTAATCAAGTTCAGAAGCCAAGTTTTATCGGCCATAGTTTATTTAGCCAAAAGTCTTGCACCAGTCATATTCAGCTTGCATGGATGTAACAAAGATCATCTTTGTCAACAGCCATGTTTGTTTTATATTTTTCAGTTGAGTGAAAAATTTACATCACAGCTCTTCTGGCATGCCAGGCTGAATGAAGACTACTTGACCATGGGCGACTTCTGGCATATTTACTCCATTTGACGCCCAGTGGCAACTTTATGAGAGACGAGACAACAATTTTTGTTTTTGTTTTAACGGTGATCTCAGCTGCACCTGAGGCTCCCAAGGGGTTAATTATTTTGTGAATTTTAACTGATAGTCTACGAGTTAACGTCGGCTCTGTGGCTAAGTCGATGTGAGCGCTTCATAATGCTGGGGTACCGGGTTCGTTCCCAGCTGCAGGCCATACGCCTTGCGTTGGTTTCGGCAGTGGTATCAGAGAGCCAACCGTCCAGAAGCAATGGCAAACTACTGGACGTAATTTGCCTAGTGAAACCACTCACCAGTTAGGATACGCAACTAACCTACGAGTTAACAGTGCCTCTTCTGGGAGGGGGGGGGGGGTTGCTTGAATCTTAGTGCTTCACATCGCCTTAAATTCTTTTGCAGTCGCCCTCATAAAGAGTCAGCATGTTGAGGTTGCAGCTAGGCTCTGATTTCTTCTCCTTTTAAACCAACACGTCTGATTTTAGAAAATCTTTAGGCCTCCCCCCAAGGGACCTTGATCTAATTAGTGACATATAAGTCTTTTTTTTTTTTATTCCTTAAAATGTCACCCCGGAACCTACGCATAAAGTTTACCATATATGAGTATGGTGTTCGTCTAATGACAGACACTGCTACTGGGTTTAGGCTATCACAGTCGATGTCACTTCGCATTGGGTTTTCCCACTTCTGCTCAGTCCTTGATGCAGCAGCCGGTCCTAAGTGCATCCACCGGTTGTTAAACACATTTCTTTCTCGGCCCAAAGGCGGCATGGATGGGCTTTATTCTATGTCATGTAATCAAGTTAGTGACAGATTTGTTATCCAGTATTCAAGATTGATATCCGCATTTATGCATTAGTTGATGTAAAGTTGTCAGATTACCCTTAAGCCTCATTATTAGAGGTCACAACATAAGTCACCCGGAATCTATTTTTCTTAAGGCCTTGGGTAAAATATTCCATTTAATGCTTCACCCTGTTCAAGTTTACTGATTATTCTTTATGTATATATGTGTGGGTTCCAGGGCCCTGTTATAGGGAAAACAAGAATAGACCCACTGCCTACCCAGAAGCATGTCGTAAGAGTCGACTAATTGGGAGCTTACTTGAAAGTCGGAGTACATCTGCCTGAGAGGCAAGGAACCAACAGTCTGCATACAAATTAGTCAGATCTGTCAAACGAATGCACACTCAAGTTCTAGGACAGGACTGCAGTCCAGTCGATGATGAACAATAATAACTATCTGCTTGAGTTTACACAGCTGGTGAACACGAAGAAGAAGATATATATACACACATACACATATAAATTGTGAAGTAAAATTTTTTGTTGTTGTTAAAGCCGAGGTTAAAAGAAAAATTGATAACCGGTGTGTTTTTCTATGGTCAGGCGACCCACTGGTTGAGAACCGCTGTTCTACAGTGACTGGGGAGATTGAAATTGTTATTTTAAATGGCCCCTTTATGCCACTGGCACATTAGGCATATGGTGTTGAGACTTGTATTTTGTATAGATCAGTGCTTGGTGGGTGATCTGGTCAACATCACACTGGCTGATTGAAATAGGCTGTGCCCTAAATTTCTGTGTGGACACACGGGTAAACTGAATATCTGTCCATATAGCATGCAAGCTCTTCGCATAATTTTTGTCTTTTATAGTCTGCCACACTCTTACCTGCCCTTTATGCATTATCAAGGTTACATTCGTTGTGTGTTTCAATCAAACCTGTCCTCTTCTTTTACAGACCGTGCCTTTTGTTACTTCCATCTCTGCTGTTTCAGCTTGTTATGTAGTCCAAGTATTAAGCCTTTATTGAATTCTTTTGCGATTGCAGGGCGCACGAATATTTATAGTGGAAAAAATGACCGCATCTAAAATGTAACATCAGTTTTTTTTTGGGGTCAGAATAACTGATTTTCTTTTTCATAGTTTTCACCAGCTATACTTTCTGACAGAAAGTTTAGGTTCTCCGTCCGCCTCTGGACTTGTTCTGGAACTTTGAGTTTTATGTGCACATCGTTTTGCAAATCTGGCTTATTTGTATGCAGATGCCACGGCCTCGCCTGCCAGATACTCTCACTTTAAAAACACCCACAATTAGTTCTCTTATGACACACTTATTAGGGAGGCCATGGTCTGTTTTTCCTCACACAATAGGGCTCTGGAATCGACACGGAGAATCTTTGATCAGAAACCAATGTTCATTTGAGTCAGTTTTCCGTGTTGAGATTTGATATTATGGCTGACAATATTTCATCATTTGGCTGCTGATGTTAGAGATGAATGATTCCTGGCAATGCCCCCCCCCCCCCCCCCGCCCTCCCCGTTCATAGTGTGTAATCATCGTTATTCTTTAATAGAGCATGGGCTATCACCCATCTGATGCCAATCTGTCCTGTCCTTTGCTTTCGCCTGCAGCTGATTCCACATCCTGCCATATTTTATACCTTATCTTTAATTCTAAGGACTTCACACTCTGCATACTTCTACAAAAAAACATTGTCCAATGTGAATAAATGTTTTTCAGCATGTTTGCCTAATGTCTGTGTTTTGCAAGCATATAACAACACATGTTTTGTATAGCACTCTGCTGTTACTCCTTTGTGGATTCTAAGTAAATTATCATCAGTTACTGGGTGGGTTCCAGAGCTCCTGGAGAGGGAATTGTAGCTTAGCTGTAAACCGCATGTCACCACATTTATAGGGGCGAACACGCTTGATTGACACTTTGTCTTTCCAGACGATAGTGTAAACAGGCTAACACACTTCATGTATATCTTTATCCTCTTTGTGTCGCTGTTGACACATAAGATATTCACAAGTCATCTCCATTGCTGCTGGTAAGCTGATTATTTCCATGGCTGCCATGCATTTTCAAGTTTCCTTAGGTTGTGTGCATTTCCTTATTCTATCTGCCGTCCATTTGAGGCATATTTCCTATTCCTTAATTTAGCATCGTGTAACTCGCAGTAATTTCAGTCTAGAACAGCTGGTCCATATGTTTTTTCAGTCAGCCATCGTGTTTTCTGCTTGTTTGGTTGATTTAGCGGAAGGAAAGCAGGAATATGAGTTCACTGTTTATACGTGCTGTGTAAAAGAAAGGGGATAGGGCATTTTAATTAATGAAGTAGGGGCCGTCATAGGGTTTTTAAGGCATGCTGTTTTGCGTTTTCATCATTGCTTTTTTTTCCTTTAAATTAAATAGGTATCATCTGATACAATGTACAAATTGATTATTCTGTTCTGTGATGCACCTACTGCCTTACAGGTTGCAGCAAAGGTTTAATTACTTATGCATATCATTGCAAGGGTAATTAATGGGTCTTTCTTGGCAAGAATGTGGCCACTTTCATTGATCTGTGTAACTGAACTGCAGCAAAATCTGATGTTATTTAGAAATTATTTTGAATTAGACGTGTGAAATATATAATCTTGATTGCTACTGCATGCAGGGTGGATAAAAATATGCGTGCGTTCACAAGGTACAGTACTCACATTCTTAGGAAAAAAATCAAAAGCTCATTCATTTTCATGTTTTAAAATGCAAAATTTTCATGGTGGCACATCCAGGAGTGTTGATGGAAGGTGTTTGCCGTTTTTTTGTTGTATGTGCTAACTGAAATTTTCCTTGCAGCTGATTGTGGGCTTTTTGTTTACTGTATGTTTTGTGCTGTGACTCCTGCTTGTTTGTTTTGGTTGTGTGTGTTGTTGTTGACAGCCAGTGATCTTATTTCCTCCTCTAACAGAACTATACACCCACTGGTGCTCGACCAGCACTATATTAATCTGAAGAACCAGGTGATCAAGGCAGAGAGAAGAGTGCTCAAGGAACTGGGCTTTTGTGTGCACGTCAAACACCCTCACAAGGTAGGCAGGCTGGTTGTTAGCGTTGTTACCTTACAGTTTAACATGTTTTGTTACATTACAGTTTAACATGATGTTCTGTTAATTAGTTTAACATGATGTTTTGTTACATTTCAGTTTAACATGATGTTCTGTTACATTACAGTTTAACATGATGTTCTGTTACATTACAGTTTAACATGATTTTGTGACGTGTAAGCATGGTTTCAGACTAGCATGGGAGTTGTTGCTGCTGCTAGAGCCATGTATCCATTTGGCTTCTAGAAAATCTGGGGTGCTTGCCTTCCAAATGCAGATTTCAGCCAGGCTACTACAGAATGATATTGCATAGTTGCAGTTGCAAATCAGAGTTTTCAAAAGTTTATGAAATTATCAGATGTTTACACAAACCATTTAGCTACAAATTCAATAACATTCACATATATATGCTGGGAGATATTGAGTACCTGTTAATCTGTGATAAATGCAAATTTGAAGTAAAAGACAGGAAGAACTTTTTTTTTCTAAACTAATCTCAGGGCTTGTTGAAAGTAAGGGGCTTTGATGGACATAATACACTCTTTGTATGTGTTGTCTTCAAGGATTGGCTTTTGAATAGCAGCACGTCTTTGATAGGGTGCTTGCTCCTTGCTCTTTGCCCAACTTCTTTTTATGGAAATGACTACTAACTTGGCTTCATACTCACATATTGGACCTATAGTAAACTTGTTTTGTCTTTTGTCACTTTTGATGTTTGCTTTTTTGTGTGTCTCTGACCTCTCACTGGGGAGAATAGTTCCGTATTCATGCAGAGCCCTTTGTAAGCTGATTATTTTTTTTCAAGCTACTTTTTTTTAGCCAGTCTTCATGTCAATCCTCCTTAGTGGCTTTACATGTTGTGCATCTTTACTTCCTCCATGGGACTCTGTAACATAAGTAATAGAAATGAATGGATCCTTGCAGTTTTAATTTGGTTGGATTTATTGGTGCTGACAGTTCAGTGTCTTACCGTTGGTGACTTATCTGTTTTGCGTCTTTTACAGATCATTGTGATGTATTTGGAAGTCCTTGGCAGCACTGGGAAACGGCAGCTAGTTCAATGTGCATGGAACTTCATGAACGACAGCCTGCGCTCCGACGTGTTTATGCGCTTTCACTCGGAGTCCATCGCCTGTGCCTGTATTTATCTGGCCGCCCGCCAGTGCCAGGTGCCTCTGCCAAACAACCCGCCCTGGTACTGGTTGTTTGCTGTCGGGGAAGATGAGATCCAGCAGATCTGCTTGTCCATCCTCAGGCTTTATGCCAGACCCAAGGTATGTTGTGTTTAGTGCTGTGTGTTTGTTAAGTGAGCTTTTTTGTGTGTTCTTCTCCCCACATATGGGCTCTGGAACCCACAGGGGGAGTTTCTGGGACAGTGTGATTCATTTGTGAAATGTTATAAATCAAGCCATGGTGGCATGGCCAGTTCACTTTGCCGAGAAGTATAAGTAACTAAATCTGACATATGATGCCAGACTCATTAATTTTTCATATATTATTAAATCATGCCAACCACCTTTACTTCCCAGGACTTTACCTGGGGCACATTTTAGACTGACCAAGGCAGTCACATGGTGTTATTTCCCAGCAGAGGCAGAAATTATTTTCTAGCCCCAGCTTATGAAAAAGATACCCACATTTTCGGGGAACAGAAGGTGACAAAGAAGGGAAGTGGCCACCCCACCTCATATTGTATCCCAGAGTACATGGTGCTAAAAGTAGAGCTGTTGGAGATACTTGTTGGGCCATATCATTGCTTCCTTACTGTGCCCCCTTTGCATAAACCAGATTAAATAAAGGGAGTAGTAGTCAGCTATGCCTTGATCTGCTTCCTACGAATTTGATTTCTCTCTCTTACTCCCTCTTTGCCGATTTGAGTTGTCTTTTATAATTGCAATATACACCAATCGACCCATTTTGTTTGACACCTTTGTCTCTGTGACATTGGCTCTTGTATATGTGGCAATCTCTTTGTCTTCTTTCTTATGTTACAGCAGACTGATAGTTCTTTGCATTCATTTCTTTCTTTCTTACCTCTTATAACATGCCCCCTTTGTCCATAATTGAAACTTGTTAGTGAAATTTTCACTCAGTGTGTGTATATTACAGCCAAACCTGGAGCAGCTGGAAAAGATTGTTGATGAGCTCAAGAGGAAGCAGCAGGCAGCTAAATCTAAGGCCAGGGCTCTGCTCTCAGACATGGACACGCCAAACTCCACATCTCGCCAAAGTAAGTGCTCAACAGTTCTTCTTGGTCAACTTTTTAACTTCTTACACCCACAAGAATTCTTTGTTGTCATACAATGCATCCTTCTTCTGATTGTTAGCTCTATGAGAGTACAGTAGGAATCTGGCATCCTTAGTGGTTAGTCTCTTTTGCTACTTCAGACTTGGAAATTCATGCTCTCAATTACTCTGTTATCGCACTGGGGTTTGAGGCCTATTTTAGGTAGCTGAAAAGGATTTGCTAGCAATGGAATTGTAGTTTTTGAGAAAAATTGCAAAGAAAATGGGATAATAGAAAGACAGGCAGTCCTCGAGACAGATAAAAAGTGTAAACTTGTTAAATGTTTCTAGAGCAGTGTTTTTTGGACATGTTATGTTAAGGAATGGGCTTATCTTCAGCTGGCAGGTTCAATACTTATAATAATAATAAAAAAAGCGTAAAGACAGAAATACTTGGCAGGTTTTTTAGCCATGTGAATAGGTCAAGAGAAGAGCAGTGAATCTGAAATTCTGGTGATCATGTAAGATTTTTAAGCATGACCACCCACACTATCAGCAGGGCACATGATGATATGAAAACTCACCTGCCAGTCATCTTTTAACATTGTGTTACGGCTTCACAGATTCACCCAAGGTCATCAGCCCCAACCCCGCAGCACTTACACAAGCACTTAAAAAGGGCAAGGAGAAAGTCGATGGACATGGTGATGGTGGAGACGCAGGCAGCGATAAATCTGACCGGAACCCAAGTCACTGGGCAGCCAGCAAAAAAACCAGTCGCCATAGCGATGATAGTGACCGCAGCGGAGTCTCTAACAAATCAGAGTGAGTTGTGTTTTTGTTTTGTGGCTCCTCTTAATCTTTAATTTGTCTTTATTGTGTCCTTTCTCAGTCTTCCCTCATCTTTCTCCCCACTTTCCACCTTATCTCTCTTTCCCTTTTACTGTTGTATCTCTAGCACCACATTTCTATAAGGGTATTGGTCTTTTCCTCATACAGTGAGACCCAGTCCTCTCTATACACACACACATGGTAGAGATCAGCTACAGGAAACATCTGAGTTCTTGGAACAGCTGCCTGCAAGTTTTCTCATTCATATTCTTATCCACTAATGTTGTTAGGAAAAGGAGTACTTGGAGGTAGCTGCAGAAAGTAGGCTGTCTTGATAAGTAGTGTCTCCTTATGGAGATGGCACACTCCTGATGTGTGACTGAGGGATCTCTGTTTTATGTGCTAATTTTTCGTGTGGGTTGCGTGGCCCTATTGGTGGGGGGGGGGGGGGGGGGTGTATACACACTGCCTACCCAAAAACCATGTCATAAGCGTCAACTAATTGGGAGCTTCTTTAGAAGTCGGTGTGCGTCTGCCTGAGAGGTGAGGAACCAGCAGTCTTCATACAAATAAGTCGGATCTGTAGAACAGATGCACACTCAAGTTCTGGAACAGGACTGCAGTCCCAAAGTAGATGAACAACTAGAAGTTTCTGCCATAGTTTACAGCTGGTGAACGCGAAGAAGAAGAAAAAGAAGAAATGTGCCAATCAGTATAGACCCTATGTTATATGCAGGTGAGACAGAGACAAAAAAGTGACAAGCTGAAAAATACCGGCCAGCAATAAAATTCTGTTTTGTGTGTGTGCGTGTGTGAAGCACAGTGTACCATTACGTGCCGCCAGAAAAAAAAAAGCCCTGACTGCTTCACTAAGCTTCCAACAACCACTCATTTTGTGTCTCTTTGATGAATAATGGTTAAATTGTATTTTTGTTTTATTTGTAGGTCCAGGTCAAGTGGCAGCCATTCCAGTTACCCTAGTCACCACAGCCGAAGCCCAAGATCGGAGTCCCCCTCATTGAAAAAGCGCCATCGAAGCCCAAGTGCCAAGAAGAGCCGGACAATTGACACATTCAGTCGGAACAAGCATAAGAGAAAATACAGGTCTCCTTCCAGATCTGTGAGCCGATCGCCAGTTCATTACAAAAACTCCAAGAAGATACGGCACCATGAGAAAGATAACTACCCCGAGAAAGAATACAGGGACCGTGCCAACTATAGAGACAATAAGGTGCGGGACTACTACAAAAGTAAATCCGACAAGGATAGGGAATACTACAAAGATGCCAGGAAGTCGTATTCCCCAGAGAAAGATCATCATCGATCACGTAAGCATCGCAGCAACGGCCATCGAGATAGTCCGGTCAGGGAGAAGTTTGAGAAACACCGGCGGTGATATGGATGAGGGATCTGTGTGGAGGAATGGGGTAGTTGTGCAGCATGATGACAAACAATCATTCCAGGAGGCTGTGAGAGGCGTTGACAGTGACGTGTGGAAGAGATGGTTGTTCATTAGCTAGCTGTATCATTGTTTTTTTTTTTTTAATAATTGTGCCTGCATTTAAAAATGTTTTTCTGTACTGTAAACCTGTTGACCACCTAATCAATAGAAAGAAGCTGAAACATGTGACAGCTGGAATGACTTGAGGAGAAAGTAAACTTGAGGAGTACTGTAAACAAACCATTTGATTTCGATACAACAGCATGCTGTGTTTTAGATGAGGATCAGAGTTTGCAAATCTAGAAAGCTCTGCTTGCAGTTAAGTCAGTCCTTTTCTGCCATTAACGTATGATTCTGCTGGCTTTTTGTTTCTGGGTTTTTCCACGCGCCACAAAGAAATAATTGTGATATTAATACAGTAGCTCTGAAAAAAAAAAGTTTCGTCTTTTCTAGTCCAGTTCTGCCTTTTAGCATTAGTTATTGAAGAGGCAGGAATCAGGTGCAAGCCTAGGTATGTGCTTCATAGATGCTGATTTGTACCGCCTATGAGATTCCATCGATCCATCGGTAGTGTGGTCAACCTCTAGTTCTGTTTCCAGTATGTTTCATGGGCAGGGCTCACTTTGGTACACTATTTTGACATAGGCTTTGATGTATCTGAACCGCTTGATCTTATGTCTGAAAAGTCGGTTGACGCCAAAGAAAGATGAAAGTGTTGCATCATACGAATATTGCTAGACCTGTTATGTTATAGATACTTTAGCAGTTGATGGGTATTGTGGGCAGCATTCGACTAGAAGCACGCAGCATTGGGCCTGAAGCAAAGGGCTGCCTCTGAAAAGTACATATTTGAACTTGAGACTTTTGAGCTGACAGATAAACGTCTAGCCATTGCACAACCACAACTCATGACGAGGAAGGGGGAAATCATTGCCTGTCTTTGTCTCCTGTACTGTGAAATGTCTGCAGTCTTCTTGTTCTTAGTGTTCTCTGGCTGTAAACCCCGGTGAAAAGTTCTGGTTGTTCATCTGCTTCTGAAGTTTGGTCTTGGTATAGAGCTTGAGTTTTGCATGCACATTCTTTTTACAGATCTGGTTTATCTGTATGTTGGGTTCCTCACCTCTCGGGCAGATGCACTCTGGTGCCTCCTCCAGACTTTGGAGGAAACATCCACAATAAGCCATCTTTTATTTCATGCTTTGGGAGCAGGGCTGTTCCCCCATCTACCCACTCCCCAAAACAGAGTCTGGAACCCACACAGGATGTGATAGGGCTCTATTTGGGAAAGTTGGAGTGCTCATTGAGCCCCACCACCAGGCTATTGAGGGAGCATGTATTGAGTTAGGCTTGAGATCAGGCACAGAAAGTTGCTGGTCGTGATCTCAGGTTCCCAACGATTGGCTGGGGAGTCGCATTGCAATGCCCGTTTTTGCAGATACTGGCAAGTAGTGGTAGGCTTACCTTAGCCGATGTTTAACTCACAACATTGTAATTCAGCTGAAACTGGTTCAGACAGAATATAAGGGGCGGGGGCTTCCAGAAAGATAATGCGAGAATGCTTAGAGTGAGCATGTTGGGAAGACAGCAGTTGTTCTCGGCATCAACTCAGGGAAATGTTTTATATACTATGTTTTGTATTTTGCTTATGTGACATGACTCCATCATTTTTGTATGAAATGAGACAGTGTCCACAATTGTGATGGAGCTGGAGGTGCACAAATATGGTGGTTCCTAACAAATGATACAGGCAGATTGTGGTATGGAGATTGGTAATGAGTGGGGGTTATCTTCACAGTAATCTGTTAAATAAATTTGAAACTTGGCAATGGCATGAGCAATAGTCCTGTGCTGGTATCTTCTTCATCACGTTCACTGGCTGTAAACTCCAGCGGAAGGTTGTGGTTGTTTGTCCACCTCTAGACTTTAGTAGTCTTGTTCCAGAATCTGTGTACATCCAATGTACATGTCTTAATTACCTGTTAGGTCCTCACCTCTCAAGCAGGTGCGCTCTGAAGGAAGCGGCCTACTTTAGTTGCCTTGTAGGACATGCTTGTTAGGGGACATTGGGTCTGTTTGTGATCACTTTTATATAAGCCACCGCCGCTATTGGTTTGTGAGAACTGAGAGCTCAGAAATCTGTTTAATCAGGGGAGGAAGCTTTCAGGCCCCACCTGGGGAGAAATGTGCCTTAGTTGTTTGTCCTAGTAGTGGACTTGAATGCCTCATGTTGTAGCAGTCAGCTGTGCTTCTGAGTCTGTGCTGTTCGGAAGGGGGAGGTGGTTAATGTGTGATATGGGCGTCACTGTGCATGGGGAATGCTAGTGTGTTCATGTAGGTGATCAGTGGGAATCTGGGTGATAGTGTGCATTTATGACTATTGTGGGTATTGGTGTGAATGTGGGCGATAAGTGTGCTTGCATGTGTTGTGTGGGTGTTAAGTATGTGAGATGTTGGTATCAGTGTGGATGTGGATGATAGTATGTATGCACATGTGGGTGATAGTCCATGTATATAAACTGCTAGGGAGGACATGTAAAAACTGACATTAAATGTATATAAATTGATTTCATTTGTTGAAGTGGTTTAAATTGTCTCATTTACGTCTTTGCTGTGTTTGTTTGTCTGTTTGTCTGATCTCTCAGGTTGTTTGTCTCTCTGTCCTCTCTTTCTCTTATCTTTCTTTTGTTTATATGTCTGGTCTGTCATGTTGTTTGTCTCTCCCTTTGTCTCTCTCTTCCCCTCCCGCAGTTTGACTTTGCAGTGTTGTATCGGATAATGAAAGAAAGCAACATATTGCATAGATTTTAAAAATGAATGAGGATTTAGTATTAGGATATTGGGTATAGAAAACAAACATTAAAATATGTTTAATACAGCAATATAGAATGTTTACCATGAAATAGCAGTAAATTTTGGAATATGAGCAAACAAATTAAGAACAGTTTGGAGACAACTGAGACGTGGCCTTTGAGGAGAATCTTGTGAATGAATACCTTGGACTGCCTGGAAATAGCTAATGTATTATCACCAAAAAAAAAGTGAACTTCCGCTTGATTCTCTAGTAGTGGGTCAGGCATTGTGGGTTCCGGGACCCTTTTTTGTAAGGGAAAACGAGAAAAGCACGCTGATCTCCGTACCCCACTCTCCGACATGTCGTGAAAGGTGACCAGTTAGGTGTTTGCTGAAGAGGTTTGAACAAGGGATTATTAACATGGCACACTTGTAGTAACCCATAAGTGCTCCGTTCTTCTTCTAACTCAAGTCTAAGTCTGAAGAAGCTCAGCACAGTTCACAAGCTCTGTAGCACCGGCGAGGATCCTGAAATACTTTGGGTAGTTTTTTAACTCCCAAGTTTTCCCCGGGCAGCGCTGTTAGGCTATTCTTTTTGATTAAACTGCCAAGAGATTTTTTGCGTGCGCAACAATGCACACGGGCGTCCAGTCTCACTACCCAGAGACCAGGCGGAATTACTAGAAGTCTTAAGTCCACGTGAAAAAATCCGGGGGAGTGAACCTAGCGCTCGGGGGAGGGGGGGGGGGGAAAGACACCATAACTCGTGACCACGCAACCCCTTCAGATGTTTGCTGAAATAAAATGTATGGAGCGGAAAGGCACAGATGTCACAGCCATGATGTAAAAATAAAAAACCCACAAAAGAAAAGGTTAATTGATTTTTATGGGCAAACGCAGAAGGCAAGAAATATTTCGACAACTGGATTATTGTTGGTGCTACGGATCTCGTGTACCGTGAGAAGATTCTTTTTAGGGATTAATATTAGTTGATTACTATTACCTGTACCCATTGCGTTCGGACAGTGGGGATAAAAGAGTAGCACCGTGGAAAGGATTGGAGCCTCACCACGGTAGCACTGGAAAGGATTGGGGCCTCACCACGGTATCACAGTGGAAAGTATTGGGCCTCACGACGATAGCACTTTGGTAAGTATTGGGGCCTCACCGCGATAGCATCGTGGAAATGATTTAGGCCTCGCCACTTAACTATTTAAAAAGACAGCTTGGAGATCAAAACAGAAGTTTATGGTTGATAAATAAAAGTAACCCTGTTCAATTGTAAATCATCTAATAGTATAAGGACGTCAGCTGCCTCTGTGGAGATGTTCCTGGGACTTGGGAAGCCTGAATTCGATGTTTCTGGCTTGTATCTTGTGTGCTTCGTCAGCTAATACTGCTGCTACATGTTGTCGCCGCGCCTGTTGGGGCTCTGCTGACTGCTGCTGTTGTTGCTGTTGCTTGAGCTTGCCGATGATGGTAGTCTCTCTGGCAATGACTGGCTTGGATGTGATCTCAATACTGATGTTGGTCGTGGGTAGGTATGTGAGTACAGTGGCTTTCCTCTCCAAGGCAGGACTTGCCGCTGAAGGAAAACAAGAAATAGATGGGTGTGGGTTTAGACTTAATTATGTTCTAAACTGTATAAAACTGAGGCCCCTACTATTTTAAAATACGCGAGCGAATCTAAGAAAACATTAAAATATACACACCTTTTAAATATATGGACAATGAAAGTATATTGTTTAATTTTTATCGAACCCAGAAAATTTTTCTTCAGACACGGTTGTTTTCAGTTTAAATTAAAAAAAAATATGTTGCTGTGAAATTAAGCTTTTTCCTGAAGTAAGTACATTTTACTCCATCAGGACATCACACAGAGCGATATACACCTTGTGACACAAAGTGCCAGCATGCGGATGAGAAACACGTTGAGGGGACCCGGAAACCGCGTTCAACCGTTAGGCTATATTGCGGCCCCTAGCAACAGCCAGGGTGGGGCTTTAAAATAACGAACAATTGCATCCCACAAGGAGGATGACGAAGATAACGACTTTTTCCTAACATTTGCTAACATTAAAAGAAAATTTCATTTAAAATATATTTGAAGAAAATTGCATTTTGTGAGGGAAAAGAATGAAGGATTTTTTTTTAAGGCGGTACAG